ACCATTCTTCTACGAGTCAGATCCTCCGAAGGCCACCCATCGATAGTGCTCTTTCTACGCGGGATTTTTGGGTACTCAATTAATGATGATTTATAAAAATGTGAGTCAATTACTTCAAGAAATCATATTCTTTTCAGTTTAAAAGTCATACACGTGAGATATGTGTTGTACGCCATGAAAATACTACACTCTAGATAGCTTATGAAATCTCAAAAAAAAGTTACTAATGAAAAGTTAACTTTTTTTACGTGTTTATAATTTTTGGTAATGAAGAATATCGGAAATGGGGAAAAACTATGCAAAACATAAACAGCTTGTAAATTTTGTCTGCTGATAAAATAAACTGCTGTCAAACTTGATCATAACTGATCACCATGCGTGGTGATCAATTTCCATAAACTTTCAAAACACCCTAATATGTTTAACAAGTGCGTAAATTTTGAAGTGCACTACAGAAATTCAATACTTCACCGGACTTATTTTTTATAAATTATTAATAATCATAAAAAAGTGAGAAATAAAAAATATTATTTTGTGTTGTAAAACTGTACGCACTGATGAGGTATTAAAAAAAACATCATCCTGTGATTTGTTATGTTGCAAATAAGCAAGTTAACCTTTTTTTAATATTAATTTGAAATTAAATATCAAAAATAAACTGACTCCTCTGCATGGAGAATCATTTTAATTAATAAATAATTTAAGTGAAACAGGAAAGAAAATGTATTTAAGTTAATATTGAAAACGAACAAAGAATGACCGAGGTAAATAATTATTTAAATTATACCACGAATTTAAAAAAAGCAACGAAAATTAGCAGAACCGCTGGGCCCCTCGACCGACAAACTATTGGGTTGTCCGGAAAATAATGCAGGATTTTGGTATTAAACAAAAAAAAAGAAACTAGTTACTTTAAAGCAATGTTCTTTAATCAAAATAANTAATCCTGTAAACGTAAACAGAATATTTTATATAGATTTTTTTTAATGAAAACTTAAAATCCTGCATTATTTTCCGGACAACCCAATAGTTGAAAAAAATCCGTCGATCAAATCGACAAAGAAGGAAATGGGAAAAAGAAAAAACTACATTGGCACACCTGCGGATAGGCCACAATAGGCAGACCCATGGTCAGGATGGGCATCTCCTCGCCAAAGAAAGACGACGAAGATGACTACAAAGCACATATTGTTACAATGCGAGGAAGTCACAAAAATATGGTGTGGCCTCCTGCCTGCAGATTTTAAACTTCTAAGGCATAGTGATTAGAATAAGAAAATGATCGATACCTGAAAGAGATAGACATATATAGTCGCATAGCTCTTTCATACGTACATTGAAATAAAATCCCTAATTTGAGAGAAATGTACTTAGTAGAGTGGTTAAGTCTGTATGGAATATCGAGTACCCACAGATTAGACCACCAGTTAGGTTAATTTAATGAACGCGTCTATTTTTCTGAGTGTGAATGCACTTATGAAATGAATGCATTCATTTCCGTGAATGAAGCGAAAAGTCAAACCGGAAGCTTAGGCTGTAAATATTTTTAAGTATAGATGGAAGAGGTAGAGGGAGGTTCAGCAGTATGTCGAGAACGATTGGGACCACAAAATTAATCCTTTTTAAAAAGATAGTTCCTACTCACAGTAAGTTGTTTTGCAACGATCCGGATTTCGATCCTTTTAGCTCATCATCAGGTTGAAGGACTTCTACANATAAATGCATTAATAATATAACAGATTTTGATCTACCTCCCATTTTAAATATGTACATAAATAATATCAAACATACAAATAATTAAACTAATTATTTTAATTGTTATGATTTTTATAGTAATTTAATAATATTAAGTATTTACTAGTATAATATTTATTTGTGTTATAATTTCCGCGTTTCGCACGTTCAAATTGAGGCGCCATTAAAAAAATCAGCTGCTAATTGGAACGTCGCGTTGGCGGAGGTATCAGTGGGTTCACTTTGGCAATTCATGTCCAGAGACGTGGTTGTAGAAGTCCTTCAACCTGATGATGAGCTAAAAGGATCGAAATCCGGATCGTTGCAAAACAACTTACTGTGAGTAGGAACTATCTTTTTAAAAAGGATTGAACACCACACTCACTCCATCATTTATAATTTCTATCACAAAATTAAGGTTAAATTAGGTTATATAATCTTTTAAATACCACAAATGTGTATTTTATTGACTTACGATATTTTAAACACGTGTGAAACGATTAAACATAAAAATTATATGGGCAATAAAACAAATGCGAGATAGACAAAACGTGAGGAGTCAGCAATAGGGCTAACTGTTAGCCGGCCGAAAAAAAAATATTAGCAAATATTAGAGCTTTAAAGCAAATAAGCTTATGAGGCGCTCCAGATAGGAAGCACTTGATCGATTGAATTCTTCATCGTCAACCTAAAAAAAGTGCTTTTACACGACGGGTTATTCCGCAAATAAAATCAGATACCAATTTATAAGGAATAAAAACTGTTTTAGGTGTAGACAAGAAAATTGCTAAACAAGCTTTTTTTTAAATTTGTTTATTACTTTAAAAAAATCTAGTATGCAAGTCATTAGTCATCTAAGTCTTGAATCTTTATTTATCATACCATTTCCTAATAACAAAATTAAAAAACCAAATATGGAATAAAGTAGAAAATATTAACGTAACAAATGGATTTGAACCGATAAACCAGATTTTATTGACATGGCCACATTCCAGGAAGTAGCTGGGGTTTTCTTTGCCAGTTGATTTGCCACCCCTAAAAAATTCACAGCGTTAGTTAAATATTGCTGTTATTGTGGGAAGATTTCTTAGAAGTAACCTTTGAATCAAACATGTTTAATTTCTGGGGCTTGTGTTTAAAACAAAAATGATCCATCAATTCACTCATAATAGCGGAAAACGATGTAACGAAAAAGAATTTTCGATAGGAAAAAATTGACGTGAAAAGTTTCAATGGTTAAAAATACACATCAAAATCGATAATGATGAAAATCACTAATCATATATAATTGTGTCAAGAAGATATAATTGTGACGAATGACCGACAATTGTATGCATGTACGTGCAGATTAGAGGTTATAAAAATCAGTAACTAGCAACTATTAAGCTATTTTTCCTAAAGCCTGGTGTTATTCAAACTCGAATCATGACATTGACTAGGTCACGTGATGGCAAATAATTATACTCAAGGTAAAAACAAACAAACGAGACAATGATGAAGTGTCCGTAACGCTTAGAATTCCTTCCAAATGCGACATCCGTTCCAGCAGAAAGCTGATTATTAGCATAAATGAAACATTCAAAAGGAAATGGACGTATGCAACTTTCCAGGCAATTTCAACGATTAACAATTCATTCTTACATTTTAATGTTGTTTATGATTCTTGTTGAAATGCTGAACGATTTATGGGCGACTGGGACAATAGAATGACAGCCTGAACAAAAGGTCGTTTATTTTCCGATTTTGCTTGTCTTGTGTCTCAGCCTCGTAAGTTCATCAAGCCATCCAAGCATAGCAAGCAACGTGCGGACGTCATTCCCAAAGATGTCTTATAGGTCCAGCATAGTCAATAACAACGACATGGAGTACTAGGTAATAACTGCAGTCATAATTTACTTACATCCTACTTAACTTATTACTGGTTTGAAAAGCTCAGCGAAAAATATTAAGTATTCTGGGTTGAGTGTGCGACGTCTGGAAGTAAAAGTAAGTTATTAGCGAGAATGGAGTGTGGAACCTCGCCCCGAGGAATATCGAGTACTCTGGGGGGAGTGAATGTCATTTATTAGCGTAATAGTAAGGATGTTGTTAAACCCACCCCGGGGAATACCAAGTCCTCTGGGGAGTGAATGTGACCACACTTCTGTTTGTATAGCGAGATGTTTAGTGTCCATTGTGTTATTGACAACTTGAGGTAAAAATGAAAGGCTATCATTTTAGGAGATCGACTTAGTTTTCATAAAAAAGAAAAGACAGTACCAGATCGAGACGGTCAAATGGCTGCAGGTTGAAAACCACGCGAGAGAACCAGAAAAAAGAAGTAAAAACCCTCAGCGGGCTGACGATGATCTTACTTGTTCGTCGGCCACTAAACTTTTAACATTATTTTTATGAAAAGCTGTATAAACAATCACACACACTATAAAGCCAATCAAAGGAGTCGAGTCCCAAGTCTTTGAAGTAGGAGCATTTAACAATACACGGAAAGACCACCTAGAACCACCTCGAGCAATAACGAGTCTTTACGTTTCCTCGGTGGAGGTATGACAACGTCAAACCATGCTTGCCAAGCCACACATCGGAGGAACAAGGCTTGGAACAATCTCCGAGCAAGACGAGAAAAAATCATAAACTCAACTATCTATGTATTAGTATTATGAAATTTATATGCAAAATTTAACTTAAATGAATCAATCAATAAATCATTCATAAAATAATAACTGATTATTTGGTTTTTGAGATATTATTTTAATTGTATCGTGTATTTTAAAGAATTGTTTGTAAAAACGTACAATTCTGATCTTCCAGATGAAAAGATTAATGTGTATAACGTGAATTAATTTACGTTAGTTGTTTGCTCATTCATCAGCTTAGCCTGATTAATTTTCTCTGATTAATGAAACAATACATGAAATTAATCTGGATAATCTATTAATGTAACCCGTGCATAATTTTTAAGGATTAACATAGTTAATTAATAAAACCTCAAATATCTTTGGCCAAAATAAATAGATATAAACGACCAACTTAAGTCCAAATATACTACAATTAATTATTTAATTAGTTATCAACTTTAATCTCTTCTCATCATTAAAACGATTAATTAATTTAACAATAGATAAATAAAACTACTAAACTTGCAAAGTCATAAACAGTATTCTTAAAATAAGTGCTAATGGTGATTTTCATTTTTAAAGTATTGTTTGAATAATAATATATCCCTTACTATGTATTTATTCTGTCTTGTATGTATGTATTATTTATAGCCGACGAACATCAGACTGGCCCTAAGAGCTTTAAACGAAAATCTGTTTTCTTTCGAGCATTTGTCACTTTCTCATATTTTGACTCCTGTTTTCTTAACTTGCTAACGTCCCGAAAGTTTCTCTGGTTGTCAAATTAATGATTAAGAAAACAAGAAAATACAAACGTATAATACCAAGTTTTTCACGCTTCCTACCTCCCCCTGAAAAACCTCGAGCCCCGCACCCCGGCTGAAATACCCGGACAGCGCCTAGAAGAAACCCAGGCAATGCCACGGTGAAGAGCAGGCAGAAAACGCCCAGGCAGCCGCAAGCCCACGTCTAGGTGATGGACATTCCCATGATGCCCATATCAGTCATCTCCCAAAACAAGACAAGTAGGTCACAGTAACTTCATATTCTTCGGAGCCGGATTAAACTTTCCATTCACGCTAATAAATTACTTTCACTCTCCAGACAATCTTTTCGCCTTCTTTTGTGATACATATAAAAAAAATGTGATATGTAATTTTGAAACAACTCTACTTTCCACGAAATCATACTGGAGTTTAACTCCTTATAACTAAAGGTCTTTGTAAATACATAAGAACCAAAAATATATAATAAAACGTATGGTTTTTGTTTTTTGGTCTCACTTACAATAATATTAAAACACCACTGATACCGATTTGGATATATGAACTACGGGGCACCACTAAACATTCTAACATTCAAAGAAAACACAACATCCAATTCAAAGTCCTACGATCCATACTACCTTTCATAATGACCTCCTAATACCCTTAATTAAAACCCTAACCATGTCCAACATGACTCATCCCTAGAACCCAGTAAGAAGACTGAAACGGAAACCTCCTTACGAGAGATACATAACTACCTATTAAGAAATCTGGGAGAGCAATAATGGCTGGTGGCACCCCTCAGGATATACGCAATGATAAATAATATTTATTTGTTTATTTTTGTATTTATTTATTTTTTACGAGGGTTCGCAACAGCAGAGGTCATATCAACCCTTAGGTTGCCAGTGTTTTTGAAAAAAAAAAGCCCATTTGGTAATTATGTATCCAGCGGCCCTGAGTTCGAACCCGAGACCTTTACCTTACAGAGATGAGCGCCGTGTCAACGACTAAACCATTGCGGCCTATGAATAATATTGTCTCATTACATGATCTATTACATTTAGTGGTCTGATTGACCAAATTACTTCTTTCAATTAATTATTCTTTGAATGTAAGGTCTTGGTTGAAATGAAAAAGTTAGTGTCACGAGCGGCATTAGAACCCACGATCCTCGATTCAATACACCGCTGCTCTAACCGCTTGATCTATCGTGACTTTGATCCACTCGGACACCAACTCCCCATCTCAAAAAGGGCTTGAAAAATGGGAAAAAGGAGAAATGCGAAAGGTTGTAGGTTGAGATTAGGAGTTGGGGTCCTAGTGGATCGAAGTCACGGTAGCTCAAGTGGTTAGAGCAGCGGCGTATTGAGCCGAAGATCGCCGGTTCGAATCCCGCTTGTGACACTAACTTTTTCATTTCAACCAAGACCTTACATATAAAGAATCATTACATAACGTTTATAATTTGTACATATGGTAATAAATATAAAAAATATGTTTTGTTAAATTTGTACACATGGCATATTGATTTTCTATAATAAACTAAAGACAATTTCAGTTGAATTTTGTCAAGCTCTGCTGTTTTAACCGTTATTTATCAGACATTTTCGCAAACGATCCAATTAGTGTAAATAACGAGGTCGGTATATATTTTTTTCAATAATTATTAACCAATGCTGTGCATAAAACGTCTCTTAATCTTATTTCTTAACATTCAGCCGGATGAGAAATTTCCTTTCGGAATTGTTTAAAAAAGAATTTCGAACGACTGAAGAAAAGAAATACACGGTCTGAGTTAATTATTCCAAAGAAAATTAGCTTCATTATTACACACAAAAAATACAGATATTTCTTTCAAGTTGGTACAAACGAATTCAGAGGGGAAATGAGAAAAATACTAAAGTACTTTAGCACCAACAGAGTCGTGACTGGAAAGGAAGTTTAAAAGCTAAAATTGAGAAGTTTATTTTAGGAAATAAATGACCTAAGGGCCTTAAAAAGGAATATTTAACACTATTACCTCAAAAGAAGATTACGTGTGACTTTTAATCATTTTTATAATAAAATTGTTATTCGTTCTTAAATAATAGTCGTAATGACGACTGCACCGTACGATCTTTGAGAGACACTTTGTTAAAAAAATAAATAAGCCCAGCAAAAAGTTGGAAGCAGTTAAAGGTAAGAGAGTAATGGTTGTGAAATTTTAATTCCCCTAAATGAGAAGTACTTTTCCTCCTGGTTTTCAAGCCGAAACCCCATCGATATAATTACAGTCATATAATGTAATACTATATAATAATTAAAACAATTGTTTAATTAAACGTTTATTTAAACGGTCGTAGAAACCTTAATATTTGTAAAAGAGACTATTGCTAAAGATAATATTTCTAGCGTTTAGATTTACAATTGAAAAACGAATTTTTTTCTCACCTTTCAGATAAGATATAAGATAAAATATGATCACTAAAACTAGAAGAAAAAACAAACCCAACTAAATATATAATTTGCTTGTTTAATACCCAGCAAAGAATGTAATTATTCCTGAATTATTTTTTGAAAAAAATAAGGAATTCCCAAAAAATATTTAAGATGAAGCATGTGATTTTAAAAAATTTAGTATTTTTGTGGTGGTCCTATTCAAATAAATGAATTCTCTCCATTTTCCAAGTTATTGACAATTTGGTTTGTTCATCTTTTCTAAAATCAATTAATTTTAAGGCAGACAGTCGTGGAACTCGTTTACCCCGGGTAAATAATAAATTTCCCGATTTAACTATCCGACTGGGGCTTCCAACATCGCTAATATCCGAGTTTCTCGCGTTGCTTTTAAACAAGAATAGTGGTTGCGAAAGTTAAGAACAAAGCATGAGTTCTGAGCTGGATCGTGCAAGTTACTTAAGACGACGCTCCAAGTTACTTGTAACTTGTGGCTCCGCTCCCCCATCATTCTTCACACTTTCCTCACTTTTCCCAAAGCCATGTAACCCTAAGTTTAATTGAACATTTTAGTTGAACTTCATAAAAAAAAGCTTGTATAGTACATTTGATATTAAAAAGGCACAATTGAAACGTTTATGACAACGCTTAAAGAAAGGTGGGTTGGCGTAGTACGTGTTCTGATCCTGATGTGACATCAATATAAGAAACTGTTGATTTATATTTTTCTATCCATAAAAATTAAATTTGATTTATTACATTGAAGACAGTTTCATCCTAATCACATATACTTGTTTCTCCGCCATTGTTCACATGTTCTCTCTACTGAAGTTCCACTAGCATTGTTTCTCTTATTGGGTCTTCACGCGCGGATTTGACTTACTTATACGAGTTTCAGTATTGCGCCATCTTCAGTGGCCTGAAGACGTTTGCGTAGTCCAACAAACCCGCGATTGAAGACGGGCCCAATAAGTGACCCATGCCAGTACAGCATGGATTTTTTTCCAACAGCACACTGCTGAGTTCATTTTTTAAATTTAAAACTTAACAATAGTTGAATCTATCTTTCAATTAATTAATCTTTATTTAAGGTTATTGGTTGACATGAAAAAGCCAGTGCAACGAACGGGATTCGAACCCGCAACCTTCTCAGTAAGCCGCTGCTCTAACCACTTGAGATATCGTGAATTTGATCCGCTCGGACACTAACTCCCAATTTTAAACCTATCTTCCGAATTTTCCCTCCTTTTTGTCATTTTTCATACCTTAAATAATGATTAATTAATTGAAAGAAGTTATTTGGTCAAACGGACCACGAAACATAACGGGTTGAATACTTTATTGAACCGGCATTGGGTCATTAATTGCGTAGTTTCACTTGTAGGTTTGTATAACTACTCAAATTGTTTTCGGCATTGCGCCATCTTCAGTGAACCGAAGCCGTTTGAGTAGTTCGACAAAAAAGCGAGTGAAGGCATACAAGTGTTGCTGGTTCAGTATGAGTCCACCAACCCTCAGACCAATATCCAGCATCATAACAATCAATTTTATTTGTCTTTATTTCTTTTCCACAACTGATCGCGGCAGTGTCAATGAAAAATTTCTAATTGTTCCCAGAATATTTCCATAATTAAAATTATCCGTCACCGGTTCACCGCTAGGGGCAATTTCATGGAAAAGACATCGGCTATCGATTTATCAGAACGAAGCTTCACGGGGTCTTCTTTTCCGATTTGATTTGTTCGCTCTTTTTTTTCTATTTCAACATGTTAAGGGAAAGAGCTGAAGTTTGTAGTAAAATTGAAAAGAATCTGGTACAATTAAGCAACTCTTTACAACATTGGGTAAAACTGCACAAAATGGTCAGACCTAACAAAGAAACCCCACGTATATATATATATATANATATATAATTTTCATAAATATAACTACATAGTTAGGCCATTTCAAATTTTTTTATGAGAAAAAATAGAACACATTCAGCTCTCTTATCAATGAGATTAGATAAAAGAATAATCACCTTTCTTGTCCTTTTTTAGTTCACTAATATTAAATAGCAATGATTTCGAAACCTTAGAGGTTTAAATGCACGTCATAAAAAAATCTTAAACTGTTATCTGGAAATAAACTAGACCAATTAGTTATATCAACAAAACGCTTCAAATGAGATTCGTTGAGTGAACAAAAGATTCGGCCATGGACGATAATTCCACCAATCGTAGAAATATGCCATTTCTACGCTCTTCCATGACACAAATTCATATCGTTAATCGAAACGGTCAAGACAGATTGTGATTGACAAACGGGGAATTGTAACGATCAAATGAGCTAAATCAATAGGACTGCCTATTTTCGCTTTATGCATCAACGACAAGTAGATTGCGAAACTGAATAACTACGAACGATCAGAATGAACCGGGAGTATTTTATGTGACTTAAAATCGATCCTTAAATTTTGAGAGAAAAATTAAGCAATAATAAATAGCTGAGTAGACGCAGCGTTGTGTTTAGACATGTATGCTACTAAACTAACTACTGACAAGAACGATAATTATTTATATTGTATATTATTATATTATTTAGATGTTTTTATGAAATACATCATTCCTCATCACTCCTTACCACGTCAACAAATTATTATTTACATTTATTGTCAACCGACTTGAGTCTGATAGATAATTATCAAAAAGAATTATTGTTTTGCAACATATGGATTTATTTCTGGAAAGCAAATCATGGCAAAGTTCATGGCAGAACTCGAATAATTTAATATCAATCACGTTTTCCACTCCGGTAAAAGAAGTCGAATCTTCTCCATTCCGAAATACGCGATACAGTGGCATTGTTCTGGGAATGGAAATAAATTTCAGTTTAAGGTAGAGACTGGGTGTAATTCTGTTAGACCTCAGGTCTGTTGAGGAGATGTGGTAAGTCTGGTGTATTTAGGTGATGTAATAGGTCCCACT